TGTCTCTACTATAAATAGAAAGAAATTAATTGGCCAACTAATATATATAGAAAAAATTAGCCAGGCATGGTGGCACATGCCTGTAGTCCCAGCTACTTGGGAGACTGAGGCAGGAGGATTACCTGAGCCCAGGAGTTTGAGGTTGCTGTGAACTAGGCTGATGCCACGGCACTCACTCTAGCCTGGGCAACAAAATGAGACCCTGTCCCAAAAAAAAAAAAAAAAAAAACAACCCCAGACCCCAGAAAGCTTGCTTATCCCTTCCACCGAGCAAGGACCAGAAGGAGGCTGTCACCAGACCTGCAATCTGCCAGCACCTTGATCTTGGACTTCCCAGTCTCCAGAATTATGAGTAATAAATTTCTGTTGTTTACAAGCCATCCAGTTTATGGAATTTTGTCACAGCAACCTGAATGGCTAAGACAGTGTCATTATAAAACAGACCCCAGAAAGCTCTCTCTGCCGCGTGAGGACCCAACATGGAGGCGGCAGTCTGCTACCTGGAACTGGGTCCTCACCAGAACCCGACCCAGCTGGCACCCTGACCTCGGACTTCCAGCCTCCAGATCTATGAGATCTAAATCTCTGTTGTGCATAAGCCACCCAGTCTGTGGGACTTTGCTCCAGCAGCCTGAACTAAGACAGACCCTGGGCCCCAGTCACACCGAGCTCCTAACTGTCCCCCAAGGCATCATGGCCTCTCCTGGCTGGCTAGGAGCCCCATCTCTGTGCTCTCAGCCCTGTGTGTCTCACTGTGGGGACACTTGGAAACTGGGTTTTCAGGGTTGTCAATCTGTCTGTCTCCCCCACTAGCTCCTGGGTCCCACAAGGGCTAGTGTCTGAATCATTCCAGTTTCCTTGTGCCTCTCACTGAGCCCAGCTCCATAAACCTGTGCTATGGAGAACGGAAATACAATAAGTTGTTTGTTGTGTGGCAGAAATAGTACTGGTAAGAGTACAAAGAAGGCAGTGAGTGTTTATGTACTATGAAGGTCAGAGATAGGGTAACTTTGGGGTTTGTTTAACAACTTCATCCAGGATCCAGGCTTTTTCCACATCTTAATATATCACCTAGACTGGCTCCCCTCATGGTCACAAGAGGGCTGCCACTGTTCCAGGCATCACATCTGGACAGAAAAGTATCTAGAGGCAGAAAAGAGACTGAATCTTCCAGTTTATCCTGTTGAAGAGTATAGAAACCTTTTCCAGATGCCTCCTATCAGCTCCCCCTCTGCATCTCTTAGGCCATACTGGGTGACACATCCACCCCAAAATTCATTACTGATAAAGAAAAATGGGATTGCAATGACTGGTGCAACTAATCAGAATTCACTCCTGAGCTGTAGACAGAGACACCTTCCATGACCAAACCAGGGCTCTGTCAGCAGGAAAGACTAGAATAGGCAAAGGCTGGGCCACTAAAGGCATCTGTACAAAACAGCCCAAGCCCCTGTCAACAAGGCCCTCCCGGGATTCCATGGCTGCGTGGGTTCCAGAGGTCCCCTCAGGCAGAGAGGCTGTTAAAGGTAGGAGCCTCAGCACTTGGGTCACCCATGGTGTTTGCTTCTGGCTGCTCTGGGGGCCCCAGCGAAGCGTGTGAAGTTCGCGCTGACATGGTGATTTGTAATGCTGTCGCCACCGTGGTTAATTTGCTTGCCTGTGCCTCTTCCTGCAGGTTCCAAACCTCGGGGGATGCAAGAGGGGAAAAAATGTCATCAGAGGACAAGGGCAAAGGGAGCTGCTTTATTGGGTTACTACTAGACACAGGGCATAGTTTTACACTTTAGATCACTAAATTCGCACAGTATCTGCCAGCTAGGTATTAAGTTATAAACGAGGAAGCTGAGACATGATCGAACAAGTTGCCCAACATCCCACAGCTAGGAAGCAGCAGAGCCTAGACTCAAGCTCCAAGCCTGACTCTCAAACTTGCAGCCTCTGCATGCCAACACAATTCCTTTCCAGTGCAGAACAGAGTGCCAAGTCACAAGGAATGAGAAAAGGACACACCAGAAAATACTAAGTCAGTATAAGAATATAACCAGAAAAGCCAGAGTTAAAAACATTCAGAAAACATAAGATCGGCATTACATTATGACACCATAAACACAGATCACACAACTTACATATAATACACAATCTACGCTCCCAAAGCTCTAACCCATAGGTTGCCATTATTTGGTTTATAAGAAAGACTCCTAAAATAGTGGTGCTCAAAGTATGGTCCATGGACCCATGCTGGGATGCAAACTATTTGTTTCTAGTTCACAATAAATATAGAAATGAAAGTGAGGTCGGGCGCGGTGGCTCACGCCTGTAATCCTAGCACTCTGGGAGGCCGAGGCGGGCAGATCGTTTGAGTTTGGGAGTTCGAGACCAGCCTGAGCAAGAGTGAGACCCGGTCTCTACTAAAAACAAAAACAAATTAATTGGCCAACTAAAAATATATAGAAAAAATTAACTGGACATGGTGGTGCATGCCTGTAGTCCCAGCTACTTGGGAGGCTGGGGCAGAAGGAACACCTGAGCCCAGGAGTTTGAGGTTGCTGTGAGCTAGGCTGACGCCACAGCACTCTAGCTGAGAAATAAAATTGAGCAGTTAGAAATCTTTCTCATGCCTTGACATTGTCACCGCATTCAAGCACTGGATTGGCAGACTTGACTCATCAAACAGAGTCTAGACCAGTTTGCGTGTTGTTGAACTTGGGTTGCATATGGCCCAAAGTCACTTGCTAGAATTGGTCCACGATGCATTGAAGCATTAAAGATTAAGATAAATAAATACATTTTTATAAACCCTGGTGCCTCCCCACAGAAAGTTGGAAAAGCACCCTGCTAGAGTTCAGCTGGGTAAATACAATTACCTGCATTTTACAGGTGAAGAAAATGAGACTCAAAGAGACAGAGTCATATTTTCAAGGTCAATACCACTGGGAAGAGGCAGGACAGGAAAACACTCTAGTTCAATTGCAAATGAGAACTATGAAATCCTTCAGCCCCTGAAAACAGAAAATGTTGGCAACAGGGGGCTGTAAAAAGGTGGAGACTTTTTAAAAAATAAAAATAAAATAAAATAAAAGCCTTTCCCCTAGCTTCACTGTTGCCAAAAGTTCAGCTGAGATAAGATGTCTCAGATGAGAACTATCTATAAAGTGAGGCCAGGAATAAAAAGGAAATGGATAGGTTCATTCCTGGCAAAGGCCAGTCTTGTGCATCCTGATTTACTCGTTGTTATTAGCAGGACTTACTCGTTGTTACTGCAATTGCACTTCCGTAAATCATGAAGACGAAGGACTCTCCTTCTTAAAGCCCTCCCAGTCTGGCTCCAGACTTCACCAGCCACACAGCTGACTCTAGGTCTAGCCAAACTGAACCTCCCACCTCCTTAGAGCTGATGTTGGCCCTTTCTAGAAAGTTCTACGGTGACCTCTTCCCCTTATCCAACTGGCAAAGCTTTGCTCTGCCTGAAAACATTTTTTGGAATAGAGTATTTTTATACCCTGTTCAAGACTCTGAGTTTCAAGAACCACGACTCATTCAAGTTCACTTTTAAAGGGTGGGTTTGTGGTGGGACTGTCCAGTGACCTCCCATGGACATTGCAGGGCAGTAAAGGGCTGTAGTAGGTGCTGGAAAAACATTGCCACCCCAGATAGCTCCTGGACATGCTCTTGCTCTCTCTTTCTCTCAGAAGCCACCAGACTCTCTCACCCTTGTGACATCCCAGCTCCTACTCCAATCCCCTTTTTCTCCCAATGTGTGTCCTCTGTTTACTCATTGCTCTAGTGTCTCCGTACCATCACTTGCACACAAGCACTGTGGCCTCCCAACCTCAACCCTGCCTTGCAACGGGGCAAGTGCAGCACCAGCACTAACTAGATCCATCCCTCTGTTCTCAAGTCTAACTTCCTAAAAAGAAAAAAAGAAGAATCTGATTGGCTGAGCTCATCTTTTCAAGCCAGACCACAAATCAGTGGTCACCAACCTACCTAAGAATGAGCTTTCCTGGAGCCGAGCTCTATCTCTGGCCTCAACAGAGAAGAAAGGCTACATGATATGGAAAGGTATGTGATATGGACAATGTCTGCTTAAATGCAGGAGACTGGAGCAGGTGGGCTAACATCAACTAACGTGGTCTGTCCAGGAATTAATGAGAAAGTAATAAATTCCTGTTTGTGCATCACTTCCCAACTCCAGTGACACCTTCTCTGGGAGGTCTTCCATGATTCATGATTTCTCCAGGTTTGCTTTTATTCCTTTTGGTTGGTTTTTTTTTTTTTTTTTTTTTTTTTTTTTTTTTTTTTTTTTTGAGACAGAGTCACCTGGGCTAGAGTGCCATGATGTCAGCCTAGCTCACAGCAACCTCAAACCCCTGGGCTCAAAAGATCCTCCTGTCTCAGCCTCCTAAGTAGCTGTGACTACAGGCATGTGCCAGCACATCCAGCTAATTTTTCTAGTTTTATTAGAGATGGGGGTCTCATTCTTGCTCAAGCTGGTCTCGAACTCCTGACCTCAAGAGATCTTCCTTTCTCGGCCTCCCAGAGTGCTAGGACTACAGGCATGAGCCACCGCACCTGGTCTATTCCTTGTATTCTTGTAGCACCGTGTGAGTCCCTCTATAGGAGCTCTCACCAGGTTAAGTAGAAACTGCTTGCATCTCTTCCTTCCCCAGCAGACTACAAGGACTTTGAAGACCAGGAGCATTCCACACCACATTTGTAGCCACAGTGTGTGGCGTGGAGCCTGGTGCTGGACTGCGAAGGAGCACAGGAAATGAGCATGGAGTGAGAGACTGAATGAACAGCTGAGTGAATTGGCGCCTGCATGAAAGCTGAAGGGCTAATTGTGCTGGGACAAATTGAAGTCCCACTGCATCCACTCTAGATACACTAAGCAGAACGTAAGGGGCAGGGTGTGGGGAGGGAAGGGGGAACTAAGATGTAGGAGGATTCTATGAGAAAAATTAAAATGAAAGAAAATTGGTCCCAAAAGGAAGAGACAAACAAGTAGTTGAGCAGCTGGCTCTGTGGCAGCATCTTTTATTTCCAGATGTTTCTGTGGGGATCTTTGGATTCTTGATATTGTAGGTAGGGATGAGAGATTCAGCTTCCCCATCTGTGAAATGGAGATAGTTCCACCTGCCTGGAGGGTGGCTAAAAGGATAAAAATGACGTAATAGATGAAAAGTGCCCAGCAAAGCACCTGGGTGCAGCTACAAAAGGGTCTTGCACTGTGGGTGATGGTAGACAGTGTCAGAACTGCCCGAGACATGCCAGACAGACCCTCAATGGCAGAAGGAGACCCTCGCGGCAGCCTCGAACTCCTGAGCTCAAGTGATCCCCTGCCTCAGTCTCCCAAGTAGCTAAGACTATAGGCATGTACCACCACACCTGGCTAATTTTTGAAATTTTTTGTAGAGATGGGGTCTTGCTATATTGTCCAGGCTGGTCTTGAACTCCTGGCCTCAAGCAATCCTCCTGCCTCAGCTTTCCAAAGTACTGGGATTATAAGCATGAGCCACTGTACCTGGCCCCACCCTGGGGTTTAAGCAAGAGGCAACAGGGCTATTGCTGCCCCATTAACGGCAGGAGACCTGCGCAGGCCAATAACAATGTTACAGTGTTAATTATTAAAATGCTGTGTCTGTTTTTGTCTGGGGACAAGGCATTTCGATCTTTGGTCTCCCTCTATAAAGATGAAAGGCGAGGTGCTACTGAGAGTGGTGACCCCACGCTTAGAGGATGGCGTGCCTGCCTGGCCACCTGGATGGAAAGGCTCCAGCCGCCCCCCCCCTCAAGCATTCTTAGAGGCATCCTCGGAGGCTAACGCCTGAGTTGGAGCAGTTGGGGGCAAGGCAGGTTAGCTCCTCCCAGGAGGCCAGGCTGTGCCAAATGAGTGTTCTATAGCTGGCTCTCAAATGAGAGCTTCTATAACTGGCTGGCAAAAAAGAGTTAAGAAGCAAGGTAAGGGTGAGCGCTGTGGCTCATGCCTGTAATCCTAGCTCTCTGGGAGGCCGAGGCGGGCGGATTGCTCAAGGTCAGGAGTTCGAAACCAGCCTGAGCGAGACCCTGTCTCTACTAAAAAAATAGAAAGAAATTAATTGGCCAACTAAAAATACATAGAAAAAATTACCTGGGCATGGTGGCTCATGCCTGTAGTCCCAGCTACTCAGGAGGCTGAGGCAGAAGGATTGCTTGAGCCCAGGAGTTTGAGGTTGCTGTGAGCTAGGCTGATGCCATGCCACTCTAGCCCAGGCAACAGAGTGAGACTCTGTCTCAAAAAATAAAAAATGAGAAAGAAGCCTTTAGAAGGGAGAAGCATGCCCAGAATGGGAGACATTCCAGGCAGAGAGACCAGCATGTGCCAAGGTCATGCGTGGAAAAGGTCTTGATGTGTTAAAAGCACCTGAAATCTGACCAGGAGGGCTGGAATCGTCACTCTGCCACCTCTCCATGTATGACCTTTGACAAGTCTCTGCTGCTCCCTGAGTCATTCTGCAGTGTACCGGGGAGAACAGCAGTACCTACTCAATCAGGGGATTGAGCACCTGGCTCTGTCCTGGGCATAGAGCAGGTGCCCAAATATTATTTCCCTCCCTCTCCAACCATCCCCTCCTGACATGCTGGCTCTAGTCTAGTCCTCCGGCCTGGATGGCATGTTCTTCCCTTTTCTCCTTCTAGAAGGACAGACGTTCCCTAAATGAGTCTACAAATGTAGCACATGTTGTAGAAAGAAGTCTGATGGAGCCACAAAAAAATAATTAAATAGATAAATAAAGTAGTACATGTGCCACACAATTCTCTCGTCAATGACACAAGCCAGACACATTTTCCCTGAATGCCTGCACTAGGTGGACCACAGAGTTGGCCTGCGATGGTTTGCGAACTCTTTTCCTCCAACAAGTGTGAGTCTTCAGACCCTTGTTCGTTCCTCAGTGACTGGTATCTCCATAGGAGCTGCCTCCAGTGCCTTCCATCCCCAAGGGCCTCCTTCCAGGGGGCTCCGGGCTCCGGAGCTAGCCTGGAACTAGCCTGAGTCAGAAAGCTCAGCTAAGGAATAGAAGGAAGTGTGTTGATAAGAGCAGAAGCTTTAGACTCAAGCCTATCCGGATGCCAGCAGACTGACTTCCACTTCATCCTGGCTCTGTGCCTAGATGTGGGACTTCCCCTTTCCAGTCACTTTCCTCTGGCAGCATCAGCCTTCTGCTACCATTTTGGAGCATTATTGAATAGCTAAAGGGATCCTACTACTGTTATTCCTATTTAACAGAAAGGTAAACTGAGGCTCAGATAGCGAGAGTCAAGTGTCCAGGGTCATACAGTTAGCTGATGGAAGAGCCTAAATTTGGATCCAAAAAGTCAGGCTCCAGAGCCCATGGTCTTAACAACTGTACTCTATGACATCCCTCAACCACAAAAAGGGACAATAACATCTGCATTTTGGAGTTTTCATGAGGATTGACCAAGCTAATGTATATAAAGCATCTTGGGATGCTGGGAACATAGAGAGTGTCCAAGAAATGGTGCTAGGCTGCTTCCCCTAATCCCCTGGAGTTTAAAGGGGGCTCTGCTATTGGAAGGGACTCTTTCAGACTTCCAGCTGAGGTTGGCCCCAGGAGACAAACGGATAATGCCGAATGACTGCCCTGAGGAGCTCTCCAGCAGTCACTGATGCTCCCATCTTGTCTCAGAATTCCCCCCGAAGAACAGACCCAGGAGAGATGACCTGAGCTTGCAAGGAAACCTGCTGGTGTCAGCCGCAGGGAAGCTTCTCGGCCTGACAACAGCTCGGGGCTGGAGATGCCCGTGGCTAACTGGGGGAGCTGGCAGGGCTCCCAGGAGGTGGGCTGGGGTCCAGTCCCCTGGGTCCTGTCAACATCAATGACCATCAAGGCCAACACTGAGAGTCTCTGAGGCAGAAGGAAACATTCAATGAGACGCTTTCGAAGGTGCATTCCTCCCTACTTGACAATGAATGACAGCGCACGGCACTCAGGCACAAGGAGAGCCAGGTCGCCCCTGTGGACGCGGGAAGGCAGCAGGGTGAAGGGAAAGGACTAGAGACTTCGGAGCCCACTCTCACCTCCGGCACTTGCTGAGGGGCGCCCGACCCTTCCAAGACTCTGTTTCTCCATCTGCCACGTGAAGCAGCTGACATCTACCTTACAAGGGGTCATCAGAGCTAATATAGGTAAAGTGTCCAGTACGAGGTCTCAGCTCCAATTCACTGTACTCAATGTCATACACACATTCAATACTCTCAGTGAATCCTCACGACCACTCTATGTGGTAGATACCATTATTAGCCCCATTTTGTGGACAAAGAAACTGAGACTTAAAAAGTTTCAAGATTGCACAGTCAAGGTCATGCCGCTCATGAGCTGTCAAGCAAAGATGAAAAGCCAGGCAATGAGGAGAGCTCAGAGCCTCCATCTGAACTGATTCCATTCTCCAGAGACTTCTCTTGCCCTGCTTAGGAGATCACACTGTGCACCTAACACCGGCTCAATGTTTACATGGCCAATGTTGGGAACAGAGGAATGGCTAAGACCACACAGGGCTTTATTTTTATTTTATTTTATTTTTTTGAGACAGAGTCTTGCTTTGTTGCCCAGACTAGAGTGAGTGCCGCCCAGGCTAGAGTGAGTGCCATGGCATCAGCCTAGCTCACGGCAACCTCAAACTCCTGGGCTCAAGCGATCCTACTGCCTCAGCCTCCCGAGTAGCTGGGACTACAGGCATGCGCCACCATGCCCGGCTTATTTTTTCTATATATATTAGTTGGCCAATTAATTTCTTTCTATTTATAGTAGAGACAGGGTCTCGCTCTTGCTCAGAGCTAGTTTCAAACTCCTGACCTTGAGCAATCTGCCCGCCTCGGCCTCCCAGAGTGCTAGGATTACAGGCGTGAGCCACCGCGCCCGGCCCCACGCAGGGCTTTAGACAACACCAGCTCCTCCTCCCAAGAGGTGCTCCAGCAGTATCTCATTTATCCTTTCAACAGCCCCATGAGAGATATGATACATTAACTGCACCACGCAGACAAGAAAACCAGGGCAGGCAGGGAAAGTGAATGATCCAAAGCTACACCACCAGGCAGTAAGAATAGGCATGAAAGCCCACTTCAGCCTTAGGCTGGGTTCCAAGGAAACAGTTGCTAGATAATGAGTTATCTCACCTATGGGAGGCCAGGCAGCCTTGTGTCTACACAGGAAAACAAAGGCAGATAAATGCAGGAATTCACAGCCCTATAAAAAATGAATTAAGATAAAAAATGCATACCCTTACTACTTAATGAGGGAGGTTTATGAACACAAATGCATGACAATGACTCAGAGGAACATAATTATCTTATCATAAGTTAAAGGCAATCGATTTTCATTTCTAAGTAAATATCATATTTGCCTGATCCTAACACACCTATTTTTTTTTTTCACATTTGAGCATTTCTGAAGTCTGAGTACAACTTACCACAGATATGCTCAGCGACTATGTGTCTTTTTTCTCCCTGTGAAGCCTGGTATTGAATTGAGAATGTGACTTACAACGGATGTTGTCTTAGAACTGAGGTGTCCCATCAGCTGTATCTGCTCTCCCAAGAAAATAAAAAAGGAAAGGAGTTGAGGTCCCCCTTCTTACTTCATCTCTGTCCTAGGTAAGGCAGGGCTAACTCCACCCCTGCCTTCCTCTCCCCATGTCAAGTCACGAAGGAAACTATGCATCCCTTGTTAGAAACTAAGAGGCAACTCCCTGACCTTGTAGTGAGTCTCCCAGGGACAGACTAGCAGAAGAATTAAGAGATTGGGGAAACAGAAAATAGAGATCTTCTCTTTCCCGGCCCAGAACTACTCCCATACCCTGATCCTTAATGCAAGGACATGAGGATGGTTGACTGAGCCTGGATCCTTCTGCCTAAGGCTGGAGGGGGCGTGGCCAGTGGCATGAGTCCAGATGGGAAGAGCCACACTCCAGACCACACGGCCACAACTCAGTCCAGAAGGAACTCTCAGATGCACAGGTGAGAAGTGATGGTGCCTTCCTGGAGGCAGAAAGGCGTGTGCCCCCATGCAAGTCACTTCACGTTTCCCCATCGCTCAAACCCCCTCAAGCCGCATCCTGTCCCCTGCTCCTTCTTGGGACAACCAACAGCCTCCTGCCAGGGCCCCTCCTCTAGATGTGGGATTCGCAGCCATCATGGGTCACTGGGGACCTCCTTCTCTCTCCTGCAGTTTTAAAAATAGAGACAAAATGTATTATGAAAGGAAGAAAGGAGTCAAAGAAATTACCCCCAGCCAAGTGGGAAGTGCTGGGTTCAGGCTCAGACCCTCACCCTTCCTCTTTGTGAAATGGGCGCAGCCCCTTCCCAACTCTGACCTGGTCTCCCAGGTCCCTTCCAGCCTGGCTTCGGAGGCCCTCGGGTGCTGAGGCTGAGACACCCACACCCTCGCTCCCAGGAGCTTAGCCTTGGGGCGGGGGCCTGGGAGGCACCCTGCTTGTCACGCCACTGGCTTGCAAGCTCGGTGGGAGCAGCCTATTGAATCAAATCACTCAGAAGCCATGTACCGGCCTCCTTTTAAGTGGCAAACCCCAAAGACAAGCAGGTACAACTTCAGTTCATGCCTCTTAACAAAACTGTGGACTAAGGTGCTCTGTCCCCACCCCTGGGTATAGAACTAGAAAATGGAGCTAGGTCCCAGCTTGAGATGTGTGGAGGCGATGTGGGAGGGCGGGAGAGGGAGAAAAAGGGGTGGATGAAACCCCAAGATGGCTAAGGATCAGCCTCATCAAAGCAAAAGGCAAACAGCTCCAAAGTTAGCTGGGAGCAACGGGGCGGGAAGAGCCCTGGGCAAGCACGCATGCGCCTCTCTGCAAGGCAGCGGGCACTGGCCCTCAGCCGGACTCCTGGACTCAGGATATCAGCTCTGCCACCTACAAACTATCTGACCCTGGGCCGAGACTTAACCTACCTGTAAAATGGGAGTAAAGAGTCCCTGCCTCCTAGGGTGGAGGGATGCTTGGAACAGCGCCTAGCACATAGCTAATCCTATAGCATTGTTCCCGACTAGCACCTGCACAGAGCTTCACGAAAAGTTTTATCTCACAGAATCTTCACAACAAACCTGGGAAGAAATAATTATTTTATAGATGAAAAGCCTGAGGCTCCAGTCACACTGCTGGTTTGTCATAGGGCATGGATTTAAAGGCTCTCCAGCCCTTCTAACTTCAAGTTCTGCTGCACCAGGTCCCCTCCCCGAGGGAGGGGAGATGAATGGCAAAAAGGGAAATGGAGGCCACTGGGAAAGGCTCAAAGTGCGAGAGGCCGGCTGGTGGGGCTGACTGATGGGGAATGTTTCTCCCCGTGAATGCGTGAGGTGCCACCTCCCAGAGAGGATGATGGCTGAGGGCCTGGCAGGGGCTCCAAGTCTCTCATAGCCACACTGGCGTCTGTGAACCTTGAGAGAAACCATGTGGCAGCAGCCACAAGAGGGCAAGGAGAAACAGCAGGCCAGGCAGGGCAGCCCTGGGGTGACCACAGCCTCGGAGGCCAGTGACACTCTGCCATCTCCAGGTACCCCGGGTTGTAGACATCTCATTCTGACGAAGCGTATAGGGAGGGCCTGGGGATGGAGCCACACAGAGAGCCACCGCCCCTCCATCCCAGCAGGCAGCAGGAGCCCAAGGGACCAGCAGTGGTGACCACAGACCAGGCATCCTTCTGGCCACAAGGGCTGGCAAGAAAGACCAGACAGAAGCCAGCCTTCTCACACCGGAAAGAGAAGGAGTCTCCTCTGCTTGGAGAAATGCCTGCCTGGCACCATTTGCCAGTTCCCAGACCCACCAAATGTCAGAGCAGGAAGGGGGTTCCCCAGGTCAGCCATTGGGCCCTTCTTATTTTGCAGGAGAGGAAAATAAGGTCACACAAAGTCGGAAGATGTCATAAACGAGACCAGAACTAGGGTGCCCTAGTGCCGTGGTCTTCGGAACACACATATGAGACCCAGAGTCAGGTCTCCATGAGGCTCTGGCTCTGGATGTTTCCCCAGCTAATCATCTGTACTATTCTAGAAGCTTCCTTGAGCTTGTGGGTTCTATAGCTGTGCAATATGGAGAGGCATGCAGTGTGTGTGTGTGTGTGTGTGTGTGTGTGTGTGGAGTATGTGTCTATTCATTCAGTAGCAAATATTTATCGAGTGCCTTGGCCGGGCTCCATTTTAGGCCCTGGAGATAAAGCAGTTCACGGAACAGACGAAGCCCCTTCTGTGTCTGTGAGGCTGGCTGCCCTATGGAGAGAGACCTGCAGTCTTGTGGGAGTCCACGTCAGGGGACCCTATGCAGAGTCTGCGCCTAGACCCTGGTAGGCGGGACGTCCTGTGGGTACCATGACGGGCCATGGCCCTTCTCCTGGTCTCCTCGTGCTTCCCTGGGGTCCGGGTCAAGCCATGTGGGGGCATTTCCTCAGCCCTCCCCACGCCCAACTCCGTGCCACCATGGCACCCCGGGGTGCCCCTGCTGACCTTCTGCACCCTAACATTCTGAGCAACGTGAAGAGGGCCCAGGCCCAGTCTCCTCCCACTCCCCGGTGCCTGGCCGATGCGCGCTCCCTACAAACTCTCATCCAATAAAGGGATGGTTAAACAGGGCCGTTGATTCTCAGCCTGCTTTTCTCATCTGCCCAACGGAGGCGATAACGACCTGGACAGCTCCTCATTGTCCTGCAGACCAGATGAGACATTGGAGAGGGAGGACCTTGCAGCCAACTCGCTGTTCTTCTTGTCCCCCATAAAAATGGCCCCAGTGCTGTGTCCCTCTGGGAAAGGACTCAGCAATGGAGATACCTGGTTGTGCCTGGGAGCGTGTGCTTGGGCGTGAGTGTGAGTGCATGTGCCAGCCTGGTGGGCCAACTCGGCCCCAGGAGAAGATCTGTCACTTCAAGGAGGCTTTAGGAGCCCTGGGAGCTCATGCCTGGCTGGCCCTCCTCACAGGGACGCACAGCTGCCCAGGCCGGCAGGGCTCCAGCTGAGGCAGTCTTGAGCGGGCTGGGGGAGGAGGGACAGAGACAAGGCACCCCGAAGTCCTTGTGTCTGTCCATACACCCGTCTGTCTGTCTGTTGGCGGCAGCCAGCAGCTCGCCGGGCAGGACGGAAGCACTGCCCGGCCATAAATGACCACTGGCTCCAGGCTGGCCACCCGCCCTGGCCGCCCGCACGGAAGGGCCGGACTTTACCCAGCAAATCGGGAAGGAACTGGAGCCTCTGAACTTGGGACTTGGGCTCCGTCGATAAGGCCAGTGGACAAACAGAGGGCAGGGGCCGGGGCTCCCCTTTATACACACAGAAGCCCGGCTCCAGGCTGATACTGCTGAGATCTTTGCCCTTTAGTTCAAACAGGAAATCTTAAAATGGAAAATGAGCTGCGTAAGGAAGGGGCGCGGCCGCCAGCCTGCGGGGAAGACGGAGCAGGTTGTTCCCTGCAGAGCTTCTGGGCTCCATGCAGAGGAACACGCAAGGCCTGGGGTTTGGGGGGGAGGGGGGTGGGCGAGAACCCCCCGGGGGGAGGGGGGCAGAAGGCAGTGGTGGGTGAGGAAGCCCTGCAGGCAGCTGCGGGCAGGAAAAAGCCAGAAACCTGGGTCTGAGCCACAACTCATTCATGGTGTGGCTTGTGGGGAGGGACCTCACCCGTGGAAACCTCAGTCTTCCCATCCATAAATGGGGCTGGCAATAACAGCCACCTCAGAGAGCGCAGGAGAGGACCCGAGTGAAGTCACGGTGTGAAGGTGCCACGCACATCACAAAGGGCTTGGCTGGGCAGCCCTGCATCCTGGTGAGGCCCCGCCCCCCCCAAAAAGGAATTTCACAACTGAGAGGGGAAATCCGAAATACCATCTCCGGCCCCCCACGCCACCCCCACGTCCACCCCTATGCTAGCAGTTCAAAGAAGAGAAAATTGGGAGAAGAGAAATAATTAGAGAACCCAAGCAATCTCCCCACTGAGGTTTCCAAGTAATTATTCACCTGTAAATTACTCCTCTCACCTTAATTCTATCTCCAGATCCTTTCGACAAGGTAAATTCATTTATTTACATCTCTAACTATTCTGCTTTGGTAAACATTCCAACAGGGTTGGATGGCCCATTAAAGAAAAAAAAAAAATTGGAGAAGCGAGGCAGGCAGGAGAGAGAGAGAGAAATTAACTCCTGGTCCTCGCTGGCATTTACAGAATTACGTGCAAGGGTAATTAATGCGGACTCAAGCCAAGGCAAACCTCAGCCCAGAGCCAAGGGGGAGCCCATCACAGCCAGGTGGAAACTGCAGGAGGCCCTGCTTACAGAGGGGCTTGCTTCCCACCTGCAGGATGGAACCTTCCAGCAATCTCCCCTCAGCTCCCTCTGCCCTGGCAGGAAGAAGCCTCCTGACCTGGGAAGGTCCCTTCAGACTCTCCCACAGACCCAGGCCCTTCCAGATCGCCCCCAACCAAGGCCATCTCTGGGCAGGGCACATTTAGGTGCTCAATAAATAGCTGCTGAATAAACGAATCAATGCACTATTCATTCTTCCAGTATCCTAAAGCCTCTCAGATTTGCCAAACTCCAAAGTTACCCCCAGATTAAGGCCGCTGTTGTCATTTGCGTGAACCAGGGCCTCTGACTGGTCTTTCTTCTTCTAGTCTCTACTTCTCTCTTCGCCACATCTCATCTCATCTCATTCTCTTTCTAAAGGGTAAACTAGGCCAGGCACGGTGGCTCATGCCTGTAATCCCAGCTACTGGGGAAGCTGAGGCAGGAGGATCACTTGAGCCCAGGAGTTGGAGGTTACATACTGAGCTGTGAAGACACCACTGCACACCAGCCTGACTGACAGAGCAAGGCCCTATCTCAAAAACAATAAAATTAGGCCGGGCACAGTGGCTCACGCCTGTAATCCTAGCACTCTGGGAGGCCGAGGCGGGCGGATTGCTCCAGGTCAGGAGTTCAAAACCAGCCTGAGCAAGAGTGAGACCCCGTCTCTACTATAAATAGAAAGAAATTAATTGGCCAACTAATATAATATAGAAAAAATTAGTGGGGCATGGTGGCGAATGCCTGTAGTCCCAGCTACTCGGGAGGCTGAGGCAGGAGGATAGCTTGAGCCCAGGAGTTTGAGGTTGCTGTGAGCTAGGCTGATGCCATGGCACTCACTCTAGCCTGGGCAACAAAGTGAGACTCTGTCTCAAAAAAATAAAAAAAATTAAAAAATAAAAATAAAATAGAATTTAAAAAATAAAAGGTAAACTGAAACATTGAACAAGATAACACTTAAGCTCTTACCACTGAAGAGAAAGTCATGGTTAAGACAGTGGCCACTAGAGTCAGGCAGGTTTGAAGTCTGGTTCAGCAACAGACCACCTGTGTGGCCTTGGGTAAGTTACTCCCCATCTCTGAGCCTTAGCTTCCTTATCTGTAACGTGAGAACAGCAGTATCTGCCCCTTCAGAGCTGTTATATGCATTGTGAGTCAATGAAGAAATGCCCGGGCTTAGTAAACAGTAAACAGTAGCTGTTGGCAACATTATTATTATCATGTTCACCAGCTACACTTGAAATGCCTGCACAGCCTTCTCGTTGTCCTCAAATTAAAGGTCAAGCTCCTTAGCATGGCTCATGAACGTGGGGCCCTGCTTGCCTCTTAGCCTCAGTCCTCACCACTTCCCCAGCCTCCCTAGTCCAGCCACAAAAGCCCTTGCAAGTTCCCAAATGCTCTGCTCTCTCCTGAACTCAGCTGTTTGCACAGGCCCCTTTCTCTGTCGAGAACGCCCTTCCAAGACCTGCATCCCGGGACCCGGCCATTCACAGACCACAGACCACCGACCCAGAGAAGCAACCTCAAAGGGAAAGGGCTGGCTCTCAGAGATTTATCCCAGTTTGGGCAGAGAGTGTGTATGAGGCTCAGGGTTGAATCTTTCAACCAGCCTTTCCAAGTTCATATCTCTTCTAAAACAGCTTTCTCTCTGCTCTGAAACATCCAACAATCCTGCGGAAAGGGAAGGTAGATATGAGTCTCTCTGGTTTTAAAGTGAAGAACTGTGATCCAGAAAAGGCCAGTGACTTACCTGTGGTCACCATTTAGTATCAGCAGTGACATAATCTTAGGTTTTCCAAGAATCAGGGGAACGAACACAGACGTGGAGATAGGCCTGAGTGTGCAACCCTGGCCAAGACTTCAAGCAAATGCTCAGCTCTCTAAGCTTCCAATTTCTCCATCTGTAAAGCAGAGATAAGAATGACTTTCTTGCAAGGTTATTTAGGAAGATGCTGCATGAGAAAGTACTCAGCCACTGCCTGGCCCTAGAAGCAGAATTCCTGCATGACATGAGAGGGGAGGGCTGGGGAGGAGAGGGAGGCTGCACCGGGGCAGGTGTGCGGGGATCTGGAAGTGGCGCTGGGGAGCAGGAGAAGGCAGCCTCCGCCTCCACGGGAGACTCGGGCATTTTTACCGCCGTCACTCCCAAAGGCCAAGGGCAAATGGTGCCCTCAGCGGAGAGTCAAGGGTCAGTTAAGACAAGAAGTAGCCGGGCGCGGTGGCTCACGCCTGTAATCCTAGCACGCTGGGAGGCCGAGGCGGGCGGATTGCTCAAGGTTGGGAGTTCGAAACCATCCTGAGCGAGACTCTGTCTCTACTAAAAATAGAAAGAAATTAATTGACCAACTAAAAATATATATACAAAAAATTAGCCGGGCATGGTGGTGCATGCCTGTAGTCCCAGCTACTCGGGAGGCTGAGGCAGTAGGATTGCTTGAGCCCAGGAGTTTGAGGTTGCTGTGAGCTAGGCTGACACCACGGCACTCACTCTAGCCAGGGCAACAAAAGTGAGACTCTGTCTCAAAAAAAAAAAAAAAAGACAAGAAGTAGAGGCCAACTTAGGGCTAGAGACACAACTCTGGGGAAGCCAGCACCCACGAGGAAGCCACAGTGACAGGATGAGCGGGAGATAGAAACCAGAGGGGCACCTAGGACCAGGGGGTGGGGAAAGAGACTTAGAAGAGGCAGCACCTGAAAACACCCAACAGTGACCAGCAGTAACAGCAGCACTGCAACCACAACGATCAGCCCAGAAAGAGCGACTTTTATTTATCCAACGTTTTCTTCCATGTGTTTTCTAAGAGATTCTTTTTATCTCTCACTAAAAGAATAAATGATCTCACAGTGCTAAGATGCACATCAGAGCACACAAACTTCTCAAGGACAAGACCCTTGTTTTGTCTTGGTCCAGAGTCCAGCCCAGCACCTAACCTAGGGTGCCCTCAATAGATATCATGAATGCAGAAAGAAATAAATGGAGAGCTAGCATTAATGTCACAAGGGAAAATCCCCCAAAAGCCCTGAAATTCATATTTAATAATAACCTTAGATTATTATTTTATCTTATTTTCCAAATGACTGACTAAGCAATTGTATAAGTAGAAAAACTACTTGAGTCAAACAAACTTGAATTAACACCTGCCTTCTCCACTTACCTCTCTGAGCCTCAGTTTCCTCACCTGTTAGGTAAACATTACTGTGTATTTGGAATTTGCATTGGAAGGAGTCACGATGATGTCTGTAAAGTGCCATCCATATGGTTTCCACTTAATACATGAAACCTTGTCCACCAGACTATAAAGCAAGTCCAACAGAATTCAGAAGCATAGCATGTGTGCTGTGTTCTCTAACCACAAAGCAATTCAGCTGGAAATAAATAACAAAAAGATAACAAAGAGAACCTTACGGTTTTCAAAATTTATGAGCATATGTCTAAATAAGTCAAAGATCAAACAAGAAATTAAGGTGTAAATTAGAACATACTTAGAACTGAATGTCAGTGAAAATATTACTTGTCAAAATGTACTGAATACAGCCAGATCCACACTGGAGGGGGAAATATATCACTTTAAATGCTTAGATTAGAAAAAAGAAGAAATGCTGAAACACGATGAGCTAAACCTCCCACTTAAGGAATTAGAAAATAACCACAGAATAAACCCAAGGAAAGTAAACATCAGAAAGTAATAAAAATGAGAGCAGAAATTAGTAAAATAGAAAACAAAAATAAGCTAGAGGGCTTTAACAAAGTCAAAAGTTAGTTCTTTATGAAGTCTAACAAAATTGATAAATTTTGGATAAGAATGATCAAGAAGAAAACGATCAAGAAGGAAAAGAAAATCAAAAAATAATATTAGGAATAATAAAAGGGATAATTACAGCTAGAGTAGAGCAAAGATTAAAAGATAATACAAAATACTATGAATGACTTTATGCCAATAAATTTTAAAACAGATAAAATGGAAAAATTCCTAGAAAGGTATAATCTACAAAAATTGACTGAAACAATTAGAAAACCTGGCTTTTCCTTTAACCATTAAAGAAAGTAAATCTACTCTCAAAATCTCTACAACTGTTATATATCAATAAAAAAACTTTAAAAATTAAATTAAATCCCTAATGTAAACTATCCTGTAAAGAACTCCCAGGCCAGGCTGTGCAAGGTGGCTCACACCTGTAATCCTAACACTGTGGGAGACTGAGGCAGGAGGATCGCTTGAGATCAGGAGTTCAAGACCAGCCTGAGCAAGAGTGAGACTCCATCTCTACTAAAAGTAGAAAAAATTAGCCAGGCATGGTGGTGCATGCCTGTAGTCTCAGCTACTGGGAGGCTAAAGCAGGAGGATCGCTTGAGCCCAGGAGTTTGAGGTTGCTGTGAGCTAGGCTGACTCCACAGCACTCTAGCCAGGCAACAGAGTGAGAGAGATATAATTTAGCAACTGCTGAGGCCAGCGAGGGCTGAGCGCAAATCAGATGAATGCCAGGGAACATGCTAATCTGAAGGAAGTCTCTGCCTGCAGTAAGGCCGCATGGCACTTACCTCCACCAAAACAAAAAACAAAAACCAAGAGAAACAAATGACACTTAAAGAAGGAAAAACAACTTTCTGCGCTCACTTGGCAGCCAGAGCCTTTTGGGACCGAATTACAGTAACTAAAAATAAGGCCTGGCATTTCTCTTTTCTACCTGCCTAGGGAACAGTATAATCCAACAGGCATATTTGCACGATTTTGTTGTGTAGACCCAGGGGAGAAAGGGTTCCTGAGATTGTAGCTTGCTGCTTGAAGATCAAACCAGGGAAAGTTATTTTTATACCTAGTGGCTTGTTTGTTTGTTTTTTCCTTCTCCTTTCAACTGCCTGGTTTTATCTTTACAATTAGGGGTTTGTCTTGTTAAACAAAGTATTTTTTTTTTCTTCCTTGATTTTAAAAGGAATACATGTTCATTACAGAAATTAGAAATACTAAAAAAAAGGAAGAAAAATGACATCTGTTATTCAAAGATAGCCATGGTTTAACACTTGGTACATTTACTTCTAGTTCTTTTCTATGCTTCATTTAAACAGTTAGTCTGTACAATGCATATAGCTTTGTATCCCACATTTGTAATAAGTATTTCCAACAAATGGCAGATACACCCTCTTAAGAATAGAACATTATCCATCTGGTTGAAGCCTGCTGCAGGCTCCTCAATTTATTTATTTTTCTTTTTTCAGCCAACCTTTCAGAGTGCGATGCATGCTACTTTCTACTTTACCATTTCCTTGCTTTTCTTTATCGTTTTCCACATTTTTAGGTTTCAATAAACAACATATCATTAATTTTGCATGATTTTGAGCTTTTTTTGTTTGAAATAGGGTCTTGCTCTGTCTTCTGCTCTGGCTCATTCATTTCAAATTAGGTGTCCAAGATCCTTGGAAAATCCTGCTGGTATTTTGATTTCAATTACATTTGAATCTGCAGATCAATTTTGGGCAGTTGACATTATTAATATATATCGAAATTTCCTATCCATGAACACAGTTCTCTCTCTCTTTCCATTAAGTCTTTTAAAATGTCATTTAACAAATTTTATAATTCTTCACAAAGACTTGGCACATTTTTTCGAACTCCTGACCTTGAGCAATCCTCCTGCCTCGCCTCTTAGAGAACTAGGATTACGGACGTGAGCCACCATGCCCGGCCTTGGCCACATTTTTAATTAGAATTATTTTCATTGCCATTAGTTGTATTTTTTTTTTTTTTTTTTTGAGACAGAGTCTGCTTTGTTGCCAGGCTAGAGTGATGCCATGGCGTCAGCTAGCTCACAGCAACCTCAAACTCCTGGCTCAAGCAATCCTCCTGCCTCAGCCTCCCGAGTAGCTGGGACTACAGGCATGCACCACCATGCCCGACTAATTTTTCTATCTATATTAGTTGGCAATTAATTTGTTTCTATTTATAGTAGAGACGGGTCTCGCTTTGCTCAGGGTGGTTTCAAACTCCTGACCTTGAGCAATCCGCCCGCCTCGGCCTCCCAGAGTGCTAGGATTACAGGCGTGAGCCACCGCGCCCGGCCCTTAGTTGTATTTTTTAAATTGCATTTTGACCGACAGTTATTTAGTTGTAAAATGTAATTGAGTTTTGGTTACTGATGATAAACTTGCTAATTTTCTCATTCTTCCTAAGCATTTATAATTTCATTGGTGTTTTTCTGCAGATAACATATAATTTGGGAATAAAGATAATTTTTATAACTTTCTTTATTTGTAATGTCTAATTGCATGAGTTTGTAACTTGAAAATAATGTCAAATTTAAACCAGGCTAGCTGCTTTTTTGCTGACTGTAAAGGAAATTTTCCTAATAATTCACCATTAGGTATGATATTTACTTTGGATTTTGTAAATATTCTTTTTAGGTTAAGGAAATTTCTGTTTCAGTTTACTAGGATTTTTAAAACATGTATTAGTTTTGAATTTTTAAATACTTTTTTTATACTTTGACTACTTGTGATCTGTGGTTTATCTCCTTTAATATGCTATGATATAATGAATACCCAAAGTATCTATCTAATTTCAGGCAAATTTGGTCATGTGTATTATTCTTCTTTATAATTGTTGGATTTGATTTGCTAAAATTTTTGTTTGGGGACTTTTTATCTAGGTTTGTGTGTAATATTGGCTGGCAATTTTCTTTTTATATTATTTTTGCCTCATTTTGACATTAAAGCTGTACTTTCTTCATTAAATGAATGGGAAATTTATTTTCCTCTTTCTGTTCTTTCAAGAGTCTGAATTTATCTGTAGTTACCTCCTTTGACATTTAGCTGAAACTTCTCTTAGAATCATTTGGCCTGGATTCTTCTTTCTTTGTTTTTTTTTTTTTTTTTGAAGCAGAGT